TCACTACAGAAAAATACTAACTGGTTGAGAAAGTAAGGGACACAACACCCTTTTAGCTTAATTTTAAAACTCCTAGTTACCACCCTTAGTCATAAAAAGTAATCTAATAAGAAGTTAGATTCAATCTGGATTTGAATGAGATGATAATAATTATGTTCCAAACCATCATTTATCATTTTCTCAGTTTGATCTATATTTTTTTCTCATTATGCAAGATCATGCAAATTCTGAATGTTATCTTTTATACCTTCCTGAAATTGGAGACTCAATACTTATTTACACTATATTAGAGCTCTCAATAAACACCAAAGGTAACAATGTTATTACTGCAGTATATTATTTGAGACTCATGTCTTGAAACACTTACCTGTTTCATGCATTCCTTTCAATAAGACTCTAAAGCTGCAGAATAAAGGCACTGTAAAAGTTCTTTACTGTTCACTTCAGTAAGCTTGTACTCACGACTTTAACGAGCCAGCAGCCCTTTTTCAAATACTTTTTTTTGTATTAAATGATACACTTTATGTTTGCTTATTATCCCCTTAAAATTAAAACACCCAAAAGTGAAAGAATAAAAAAAAATCAATTAGTTTTATCTCATTTATTTGATAAGGTACCAACCTTGTAAACTGGAGGTCCTAAACTTAAGATTATATAAAAAATATTCCCTTGAAAAAAATAACAGAAACAATAAATAAATTTATTTTTACAGCTAGGGCCATATAATTCTGATTTACCTCAATGACATAGATGAAGGGATAGTCAATAAATTACTTAAATTTGCAGATTATACTAAGGTCTTGGGTGTTGCTAGCTGTGAGGAAAAGGATACTGATTTACAAAAGGAATTAGATCATTTAGTGATTTGGGCAAATAAATGGCAGATGGTTTTTAAATTATAATAAATAAAAGATAATGCATGTGGGTTATCATAATTTGAATTATAAGTATGATTTGGATTGGAATAATTTTAATAGTGTTATGAAGGAAAGGAGCCTTGGTGCAATAGTCGATCAGTCTCTAAAGCCACCCAAGCAGTGTGCTGTTGCTAGTAGTAGGGCAAATAGGATTTTAGGTTATATCTATAGAAATATTGAATACAAGTCCAAAGAGGTTATACTTTCGTTGTGCAGGTCACCGGTTAGGCCACATTTGGAACATTGTGTTCAGTCTAGGGCCCCTTACCTTGGGAAGGATATTGAATTGTTGGAAATGGTTATTAGAATGGTGCCTGGGATGGAGGGGTTGTCACATGAGAGGGTGAAATCTCTCAAATTGTTTTCTCTTGAAAAAAGAAGAGCTAGAGGGGATCTGATTGAGGTGTTTAAGATTGCAAAAGGGAATTGATAGTGTTGATGTATCATCTTTTTTTTATATTTAACAATGAGAATAAAAGGACTAGGGGACACAAATATAAATTTTGGCAAGC